CGCTAGGGTCATGGGTCGGCCCGCGGTCCCGGGTTGATCCGGCCGGTTTTCACTAGTCTGGCCGGCCCGTCCGTTTTGACACCTCTAAAGAAAGATATGTAAAACTTTCACCATGATCCTTCCTCTCCCCACACACATATATATAATGCAAAGTATTGATTCTTCTATTGTATCATAATACATGCCATGCACATAAATTAAATTAGAATTAAGCTAACAATAGTTTTGAACAATATATGACACACCACATAACCTATTGAACACATGCGATAGACATGCAAATATGAACATTAAAAGTGTCCATATCATCTGTTCTTGACATGTCGAGGTTTTTGGTGTTGAAGCATTTCAGTCCATAACAAGTAGTATTAGAGCTTTTGGTGTTGAAATCTTGTGAAGATCAATGTTTTTCGTGATGGCAACAATGAAGTATGATATTCCGCTATTAGATTGCAATACAAGATTCTCTTTGTGGTAGGTAAAGATGTGAGCAGTACTCGCTCAGATAGATTTGGACGATGCGTTGTTGAGATTTAACAAGATACCGACAACTTGGACTATGGAGGATAAATAGCGAACGGATCGAAATGCTCTATCTCAAATATATCTTCATCTTTCAAATAATGTTTTTCGGACGTTTTAAAGGAAAAGTCAGTTGTTGCATTATAGTTAAAATTGGAGCAATTATGCATGACAAAGAGTCTTATTAGCAAATTACATCTGAAGCAACATCTATATTCTCCTCACATGACAGAAGTACATCTCATGAGGATCACCTAACTGCTTTTAAAGAAATCGTCCCTGATTGGAAGACCTTGGAGGTCAAATATGATGAAGAAAACTTGGGATTGATCTTACTATGTTCATTTCCTATCTCATACATGTCTTTTTAGTACACGATTTGATATAGTCGTGATACTCTTACTATCAAATAAGTCTACGATGTTCTATATTTAAATGAGAAGATTATGTATCTTGTAGCATTTGGAGATCATGGAGATGGTTTCATTGTTCGAAAGACAAGTCAAAATCTAACTTCAAATTTTGTAATTATTGCAAGAAAAAAGGGCACTTGGTAAACGATTATTATAAGGTGCAGAATAAATCAAAGACAGTTGTAAGTCAACAATCAGAAACTTCAGGGAAAGCAAGTATTGCAAAAAATCCTAACACTGATGAAAAACTTCTACTTATGTCTGACTACAACTCCAAACCTGATGAGATTTGAATTTTATATACAGCTTGCACGTTTCATATGACACCCAATTTGGAATTATTTTCAACATATGAAGAAGTTTCAAAATGTGTTGTGATAATCGGTAATAACACACTTGTCAGATAGCTAGTATTTGTCGGGTCAAAATAAAGATGTTTAATGGGACGGTTAGAATACTTGATGCAGTGAGACACGTTGTAGATTTGAAGAAAAATCNGGATGCAAATGCAGTAATTAGGTTTACAATCAATATGTCTCACTAGGGTCATCACTCGACCCTAATGCCAAATTCGTCTCGCCTCTCATCTTACTTTATTTTTCTTCTTGGGACAGTCCCTAATAAAGTGTTTAGTCTTACCACAACTGTAACATCATCTACCGCTAAACTTGTCACATCCCTTGCTCTTCTTCTTGCCACCCTCATCACTCGAGTCACTACTCGAATCACCATTGTCTTGAGCTCTACCCAAATTCATCTGCTTAAACTTCATTCTACTGCTCATCATATGCAACTCACGACTTCTCTTATCTTCTTTTTCAGCCTTAATCTACATCCCCTTACTCTTAAGGGAATCTATGACAATCTCAGGTGTTAGGTTGTCCCTACCATACTTAATTGCATTCTTAACTTCTCTATATGAATCAGGCATGAAATTAAACAAAATAATAGCTTTATACATTTCAGACACCTTCTCATCACAATTAACGATATTTTGAACCAACTTGTTAAAAACATCCAAATTATCATCAAGATCTTTTGAATGATCCATTTTAAAGCTAAAATACAACTTATTAGGAGTAGATTTAAGCAAATATAAGTCTTCCAACTTTTGCCAAAATTTTTTGGTAGAGTCAAATTTTTCAACTTTTCTCAAAACGGTGTCGGATAAGTGTAAAATAATTGAAGTGTAAGCAAGTTCTTCATACTCTTCTTTTTGTGTTTCTGTTAAATTTACAGGAAATTTGTCGTCTATGGCCTTTGAAACTTTTTGTTAAACCAAAATTCCCTTCATCTTTTTTTGCTAAATTGAAAAGCCTCATTTCCCATTGAAAATTTTAATTTCGAAATGTAATGACATTTTGAAAAATAGAAAAATCAAAAAAATGTATAAATATGTTAACATAGAAGCAAATATCAACTTGCAGTTAAAACCAACACTTCAAATAGAGCAATTAATTTTTAAATTTCTAGAACAAGCAATAGTTACCCCTTCACGGTAACCTCAATCCTAATGTCACCCTACATGATGACGCGCTAATTCTGAAATTTAAACAAGATAAGCCAATTTACCAGAGCGGACCTATTAGAGTCCGTTAATTACGAGAGATGCGAACGTATCACTTTAGGGTCACCACTATTCGCCCTAAAGTCTCCAGCAGCTACAGCAACCAACCGAACGAACATTGAATTATGAACGTGATTTCACTGTATAACCTGAAACATAAAACTAACAACACAAAATCGTTAGAAATTTAAAAATAAAATTTTGTCTGAAGGAATCGTCGTTGAAAACTGCCCCACGTACCGCCAAGCTCTCTACGCATGGGCTTCACGCGCCGCAGCCGCCGGTGACACGCGACTGATTTCCAGCAGTACCTTTACCTGCTGATGACTCATGTGGTCTCCGTTTGTCCAGTTAGCCACTGGTTTGGCCGGAAATCGCGTTTGCAAGTGCAATTTTAGGGGAAAAATAGACAGTTTTTTTTGCTTCAATTCTAGGCAGTTTCTGCTCGTTTTCTTAGCCTGAAATCCACCCCAACCCTGCTCTGATACCAATTGTAAGATAATGGACTCCATTCAACCAAAAAATCCAGGTGGATTGATTTTGGTGTTGAAGCATTCCACTTTAAATTATCATCTAACTTGTGTCTTCAGTCAGATGAAAACATTGATTACATGTCTCGGGTTCCTTATTTCAGTATAGTTAGTTCGCTGATGTATACTATGATTTGCACAAGACCTGATTTGGGACATGCAGTTAGTACAGTTAGCAGATATATGGCAAATCCTGGCAAGGAACAGTGGGAAGTAGTGCAGTGAATCTTCAAATACTTGAGGGGCTCTTCTAATGCTTGTTTACATTTTGGTAGAAATTCAGATGGAGTCATTGGGAATGTTGATTCAAATTATGCAGGGAATTTTGATAAGAGGAAATCACTTACAGGGTATGTGTTTACTCTTGGAGGCTATGCTATTAGCTGGAAAGATACTTTGCAAAATACAGTAACTTTGTCTACAACAAAAGCAGAATACATGGCCATTACAGAGGTATGCAAGGAGGCTACGTGGCTGAAATGATTGATGGATGAAATCAGTGAAAACTTGCAGGTGTCTACAGTATTCTGTGATAGTTAGACTGCAATTTTCTTGACTAAGAATCAGATGGTTCACGAGAGGACTAAGAACATTGATGTGAGGTATCATTTTGTGCGTGATGTGATTGCTCGTAGTGATATTGTAATGAGTAAGGTTGATACCAAGGACTACTGATATGATGACGAAACCACTTCATATTGCTAAGTTTGAATATTGCTTGAACTTAGTGGGTGTTTGTCATTGATTTAACCCATTGGTGCTTGTTTGGAAGAAGAATTCCACCTTGAATTCCTCGTGATAGAATTTGTTTCAAGGTGGATATTTTTTATGGTATGATCCAAATTCCATATTATTTGGGTTGGTAGATTAAAAGAAGTCTAAGGAGTTTGGGTTTTTAAGAGTCCAAATTAATGAAGATCAAATTTCATCAAGGATTGAGAGTTTGACTTGGATAATGATTGCTTCTTCATCTAGATGGATTTTTCTCCTCTGCCTGTGGTTTTTCCCATATTTGGTTTCTACGTAAATTTTGGTGTTTATTCTCTTCTTTTTTATTTCATTATCGTCATTATCTTGAAATCTAAAATTCATAATAGAGCGAGATGTCTTTCTTAATTGGGAGAAAGTGAAGACGAGAGGAAATTGGAGACAACATATGTGGATTCACTCACAATTATGAATTATTGTAAATTCAGTTGGAACATCCAAAATAATTTCACTATATCAACCATAGAAAATGAGCCATTTTATTTTAGGTTAAGAAGATAGGCATCGATTACTATACTCTTGCTTGTATTAAAATGAGTGCATGTGCAAGAAAACCCTATTAAGAGCAGGTAGTCTGCATCTTTACATAAGCTTCTGAATCTTTCACGCGTGTCTGTTTCATTGATTCTCTCGACCTAATAGATGAAAATCTTAAATTCTCTCTACTAACAAAATACTGAACTGAGTACAATGACACTATGTAAAGAAGGGGATGTTTATCGCCATTCTTCAAATTGCTTTTTGGATGGAAAAATAATTTTTTCTCAAGACTTTCATTGGCTGTTGGAGGTCCATTGAGTTCGTTTATTACATTGATGAAGAAATTCATAACTTTTCATGATTTGTAAAGTGCATGATTTTTTTTATTTTCTTTGATTTGTTTTATTGAGTTTCCCATTCTCAATATTTTGCCACTATTTATAAGAAAAATATTTGAACTCATACACTCAAGTATAAACTGTTTTGATAAAATAACTGAAGAAAAACATAGAAGAATCTATTCATAATCGGATGTAGTACACTTTCACTAAATTGTATACATAACTACAACTGCGGTATCAAATGAAATTACATCAAACATATATGGCATGTTTGGTATGCAGAGAATTGGATAGTAATAGACATGGACAAATATAAACTTAAATCATGTTCATTAATCATATAGCCCTATCGAGTACTGCATAGCAGATAGGGACGTGTTTACATTGGAGCTGGAGCACAATATACAGGTGAAGATGGAGAAGGAGCAAAAGCAGACATAGGACCAGCAGCAGGAATATGACCAAGAGCTGCACCAGAACTTTGAATTTGAACCATTGAACGGTGTGAATTTATTCGTTGAGATTTGCACAGATCAGGTAAAAATGCTCCTGTTAATTGTTATCAAATACCATATTAGCAGTAGCTGATGCAAATTATCAATGCATCGAGTTTCCATTTATGAAAATTATGTACGTGTCATGTCTTCAATAAAAAAATGTGTATGGACTATTCGTAAGAGGGCTCGTGTTGCAGACTTAAAATTAACAAATTTGTTCGCTATTTTAATAAGTTAAACTCTTAGATGATGTTGTTTGAGGAAGAATTGTGGGTTGTGAAGATCACCTTCTCCGAGAGCCAAATTGTAATAAAGATCGACAATGTTGGGACAGTTCTGGTAACACTGTGGTGAGCACAGCTTGGCAGTGAACTGAGAGTCGAGGAGGGCGTCTAATGAGATCCCGACAGATTTCGACCCCACATGAACTCACGCATTCATCAGCCCCAATATACTCGTACAAGTTAATTGCAAAACCTTCAGATGTCTTGCATTGGAAATCCATAGTTCCATCATTTGATGCGTATGTCTCTAATAGGCATCGCTTTCCAGAGGAGCCGATTGAGAATGAACACAATCCAGTCGACAATTCCTCGCACAATAATTCCCCTGCATCCAAGAAGGAAGAGAAACAAAAATGTTAGTCTTTACACGAGATTGGACAATAGATAGAGCAAACTAATTGAACAACTCATCTTGTAGATTACCAAGAGCGCCATGGAGAAAGAGAGTCAAGGCAAGGAAGATGAAAATTTTCATTTTAGCACAGAAGCTTGATTCGTGCTTATAAAAAGTTTGGCTGGATGATGTTAAGAATGGAGTTAAGTTATATGCTTGCAGAGAGTACATGCAGAAGATGGTATTTATAGTGTATCTGTGTCTTTTTTATTGGTGGGGGGTAGGGTGGGGTGGGTGCGTGCGTGCGTGCGTGCTTACCAAAATGACATTGTAATGGTAGTTTTTGAGATGTATTTTGTTGTAACTTATGGAATTTTTGTCTGTTTCACTTATGTTCAGTAAGACTTCTTATAATAATAATGTATGTTACACAATTAAGGCACGTTTGATGTGTTCGAGGTAATCTTTAGCGCCGACCAGGAGTAAGTTGATGGAATAATGATCAAAGTAACACGTTTTGTGTAGGGAGAAAGAAGCCTTTGTTAGTGACAGTGACAAAATATCAGCAAAGCAAGTTTATAAAGAAAATATAGATCAAAATTTACATGGCTTAATATTTTGTGGTTGGAGCCGTACACATCAATATTTTAATGAATAACCTCAAATTTAATCACATCATTAACTATGCAAAGTATCATGTTTAGATAGTTAACAATCCTTGACATTCCGTTTTGCCCCCAAAGACCAACAAAAGAGAGAGAAGATTGCTCATAGACAACACAAAGTACTAAAAATTAGTAATTTGTAATATATTTTTTGGTAAGAGGACAAAATAAGAATACAAATTATTATTATCATCATCATCATCATCATCATCATTATTTTTTTGAGAGGATATATTTTGTTAGGAAATATTTAGACACAAATATGCGGAATTAAAACAATAA